ATCACCTGATCTTAGTGATCTAGATGGAACATAAATCTGGATGAGATCACTAAGATATGAGGGAGCTTTGTTATTGACACATTTATGACATAATATTGCAAATTTATATGACATTCTATCTGACCCGGGAAGCCAATGCAACGTTCTTAACATGGGAGTAATGTGATTTTGAAAACATTGTAACTTGTGAAGAGAGGTATTTGGTAAGTTAGCTAGAAAAGCATTGCAATAATCGATGCGTGAAAACAAGAAAGATGACTCGAGCGTTTTCAACGAGTGTTCATTCAAAAAAATAGACATATGACCAATTCTACGCAATTCACAAAATAAAATGGTACATAAATAATTGATATGATGTTCCATAGACAATTTTGAATCAAAATACACTCCCAGATTTTTTGCTTTATTAGTAAAATACAGTTTTTCATTTTCAGTACAAAAATGAAACCCTTATATTTGTAAGCGTCATCGAGCACTTTTTGTGGATTCTGGAGCGTTATAGATTTATTAATTTATTATTATTATTATTATTATTATTATTATTATTATTATTATTATTATTATTATTGTTGTTGTTGTTGTTGTTGTTGTTGTTGTTGTTGTTGTTGTTGTTGTTGTTGTAAAACTGTAACTGTAAATTGTTTACATCGCTATCCACACAATGTAGCTCATTTAAGAGGAGGGCTGCTTTCGAACCTGTCTCATCAGGGAGTGAAGAGTATACACAGTTTCAGCTGATGGATGAAAACAGGCCTATACTTGGCTTTAAGACATTTTCATGTCATTCTGCTTGTGCTTTCTGATAGACCAACAAAAAATATGTCTCCAATTCTATACCATAACAGAAAAAAGTAGTCAAAGATATAACGTAATAGATCTAAGACTCGTGTTTATCAGAATGATAGGAAATATAAATAAAGCGTCTCCTTTGTTACTTTTTGGGCTATAACACATTGTTTTGAAAATACCATAAGATTCCAAGTTATACACTGCAAGTCGGATACTGTAACTCCAAATTTCCATGTGGATTGCTGGCGGACAGTGGCGAAGGTTGACTTGTTTGACAGGGTAATCAAAGTGAAACTGGACCAGACATGGTCTGTAGATATCACACAAGAATCTTACTCGAGGCGGCGACTCTGAGTTGTGAATGAAAACAAATCCGGAATTCATATTATTGTAAGTTCAACCGCCAAAATAATCGGGAAAGTATCTTATTAAATATCAATTCCAACTAAAATTAAATTTAACTTTAGATGTGAATACACAAACACAAAGCAAAGAAGCAGAGACGTCAGTACTAGATCTATATGTTATAGATCTACCAGTGAGTCTAACTCTTTGGTAGAACATGACAATTATCAGTTTTTAAATTTCACATTTGGCTGTTTTTGTCTAGCCTTTCGCGGCCAGGAGCTGGTGTCATAATCGAGGTCACGATCTGATTATAGGACGGTAAAAAGTCGAGGTGTTCCCCCACATTTGTGAGCAACTCGACCAGTGTTAGTTTAAGCTTACTTAATCAGAGGCTTGTATGAATATAACTGTGCCCAATGGGTGAC